TCTCACATAAACATGGCATTTGGGCAAAGTCTCCAAGAGTGATGTGAATAAAACATTTTGATTGTGGTCTTCCCTTCTGTACTGAACAGAACACTGGCAATTTTAGGTACTTTGGCCATGCCTTTACTGCCTCAGCTGTAAAAAAGAATATATTTGTTATCAAAATGTATTTGTTTCATCAAAAGCAAAAATATGATTCAAATTTGAGTTCTTGGGAACCTGACTCGTAGAAATTCAGAGTTCAGTCTCCCCAACCTGTTGTTCAAGCAGATACAGAAAGAAAAGTTCTTGCTTGATTTAGCAAACCAGAGTCTGAAAGGGAATATCATCACTGCCTGTAAAATAATTCCATGGGATGTAAGTGCCAGGGAGGGAAAATAACTTCAATTAAAATGAACACACACAAATGGAAAAAAAATTAATCTAAATTGCCCAATGGCAATATTAGAACAGAAATCAGAGAGGTTTCCAACGATCAGGAGAAAAAGGCTTGGAACAGCTACCCAGAAAGGAAAGAAAGCAATAGAAGGATGAATAATAGAAATATGATAGACCCCCAGCTGTTTGTGCATGTTTGTAGTTTGATCAGTCATGGCTGTTGGATGCAGTACCATGTGCCATTCTTGAAATTCCTCATTTACAAAGCAGGTCTGAACACTTCAGCTGAAAATCCAACAACAGTTTATTCACAACTACTTTGTCCAAGACTAAATAGAGTGCATTGGAAATGTACAGGTGCATCGTTATTCTGCCTTACCTGTGCCCAGTTTGTCCTGTCAGTAACATTAAGTAACATCTTGCAAGCAATAGCTAATGCAGAGTCTGCTCTCCCATAAGACACTTAACTCTTCCCCTGCTGTCTGGTGTAATCACCTGGCAAGAGCAATGATGACCTTGCAGGCTTCATCCTGCACTGGACCCTTCAGCTGTGGATGGAATACAGAACCTGTCTGGCCATGGTTGTTTTGCATCTGCTCCCAGCTCCACCACGGTGTCTCCATCAGTCTGCTGAGGCTCTGCTGCTGTAGAGGATCTATGAGAAGCTCAGCTTTGTCTTTCCAACCATGTAAACCACAGAAGCTTGAACCAGCTGTTTAAAGGTATCATGCTCATGTAAAAGCCAATCCCCAGGTATAAAGCCAAGTACATGCTCAAATTCTCTGCCACAGAGTTTAAGATCTACACCAATGTCCAGCCCAAGAGAGCTCTTTGTCCAGTGCAAGGCAATAGTAAACAGCTATTATAATAAATGACTGTGAAACCCATGCTGCTTTCCTTCACAGCACCAGCTGTACCACCAAGGCACTCACTCAATCTCCCTTACCTTTCAAACTCCTCCAATTTTTTTCTCTTTTTCCAGAATACTTTCAAATTAACAAATAAGGCACTGATCTTGCTGCAAGCCAGCTTAGGACAGAAGCAGTCTTCATTTTTTGTAAGCTCTAAAAAGCATTTCTATCCCAAAAGCTCATTATGGACATCACCTAGAGACTTTCTTCTCTCCATTAAAACCAGGTCTCTCTTTTAGCTCCACACATAAATCTCTGCTTGTTCTTTTCCCCTAGTCTATAGCATGGCATTAAGGGAGCTATAGAGACTCCAAATCTACAGTGTCAGGATACACTGCATCAGCAACACGTTTGCTATCTCCATGAGCTAGGAAAGTTGCCAACTTCCACACCATTGATGATATTTCTCAGTGGTGCAAAAAGGCAGGAGATCTCACTTGTGTATCTTGTAGCAGAGATTTGAGAAAGATTTCAGGTTATATGAACTTTTATTCCAGTTTTATAGGGGCCAGTGGGAAGATGCTCAGGATGTATCAATGCAGGTAAGTACTGCCAGGACCCATTTACAGACTCAGTAGTCTGGGCTCTTATTATATTGTCAAAATGATTTCAGACAGGGTGCTGGCTTGGGCCAGTGAACCTTCTTGGGTCATCTCAGACAGTCTGGCACTCAATGCAACCAAAGACCCTTTCCAGTACCCACTTTTGCTGCAGCAGCCCTTCTCTGTCCTGCAGACTGGAAGAGCTCAGGATTGTGGAGATGCAGGACAGCTTTTTGTGGCATCACTCACCTCCACTGGAGGCCCATCTGCATTTTAATAAAACACTGGATACACTCCTGATTTCAACCTCATCAGTCATCTGACAAGCCAGGCTTGCTACACCTATGCTCTCCTCTGGGGAACTCCTGCTGACTCCAGCAGTGAAACAAGGTACACAGGAGAGATTAGAGAATATGTGAACTGTGTCGCTACAGATGAGCGGAGCATGCTCCAGGTGTCTGGATATGAATGTGGATCTGGTGAGCAAGCTGTCCAGGGAGTACCTAAAATCACTTATGGGCTAAAATAAGCACTGATCTAAAACAATTTATGTTGATGGAGTTAAACTTGGACAACTTGTACTATTATTTATTATTCTTACTGTACCTGTGGCTTAGCATATAGCGAATTCAGAGCAAAATGCCATCAGTTTAGTGGTGCACACACTCAATATAAAATCACAGCCAAGCCTGAGAGAAGCTGCAAACACCCAGAACAATCCCATACAGAAATCAGGAGTTCTTCCTCCTCCACAGCAGCATTGAAATTATATCCACACCACTACCAAAGTAAGGATACACGGAGCTTCAGTGAGGCTGACAGGATAAGGTACACTGCAATACAAAAACTTGATGGTGACAATGCTTTTAATTTTCCGTTCTTTCCACCTAACAGGATTTTAAATATTTTAAGCTTTATTTTTGTTTTTTCCTGTACTCACACAGATACTGCAAAGTATGATCTTCTTCACACTGCCCCTCTGCCTGTGCAAAAGGGAAAAGTTGTTTGACAGCAGCACTTTCAGAGCACATAAGAATGAAAACGAGAAGAGGTGTGTTGCATCCTTGTGCCACAGCATGGAAACTCCAGCAGGAAGCCAGTAGCTGCTGCTGTTGGAGTGCAGACAGGGTGCTGGGGTTACACAGCATCCTCACAAGCAGCACATTGGGATTTTCTGCAACCCCCATGCTGTACCCTAAATGAAGTGTTTCACCCCAAGCCCACCCCACTCCCAACTCCATCACTGATAGGTACCCAGAACCTCCACACAGAGACAATGGGTCGGTGCTACTTTGGGCTTCCTCCTGAACACACACCATTGCTTCAGCTGAGCCTGGACAAGCCTGTTGTGCACCCAAGTCCTGCTGGGGCCCAGCTTCAGTCAGTGTTGTGAGGGGGCTGCAAGCACAGCACGACACAGAACAGCAGTGCCAGAGCCCCCGCAGTGAAGGGGGAGCATAACATCCCTGCACACAATGCAACTCTTTGCATTGTAACATAACATCCCTGCACACACTGCAACCTGCAGCTCTTCCCGAAGGACAGTCACAAAATGTTTCCCTGTAGCTCCCTCAAAACATTTGTACACCATCACAAATATATGTGCACCTAAATGTGCACCTAAAGACATATATGATGTGTCTTGAAAATTGTACAGGTGAAACGTAATTGCAGTGACAGACCAGAGAAACTGCTGCCTGCTGGATGACTTTTTATATCAGAATCCTTTTTCTTAGCAAATGGGTCACTTGAAACCAGTGTCAGCCTCAATTCAATTTGTATGAACAGACCTGAGTTCCTACAAGGCAGCTTCTGTTCACACAACTATTTAAGAATAGTCTAGCTGAGTTGTGAAGAAAGGAGAAAGTCCTTCAAAATGGAAATGACAACTATTCCCCTGTCAATTAATTGATTAAAAACTTCCTGATGAGACCATGAAACCATGTCCCAATTAACTAGGACTGAACCCCACAGTGAGGTCCTTACAACATCCGCTGCAGTTCTAAATTGAGTAGTTCAGTACAATCTATACCAAAAGGAATTCATAATGACTAGACTATCATTTCAAAATGTTATCAGTCTCCTAGTACTAAAAGCTGAGAGAGAGGCCAAAGATTCTTGCCAAGCAGCCAGAAACAATCTGGCATTACAGTTGCAGATACCTTAGAGGAGAGCCTGAGTCCCGTAGTGGTGGCATCCCTTTCTCTCTCATTAGCATTCTGCTTGGTGTCTCTGAGAGACAAAGTTGGAGAATCCGGACAGACAGATCCCTCCACTTCTGCTGCTCCACAAGCAGACTTAAGGGCAGGCAGAAAGCACTCCAGGCAATTCACCCTTGCCTTCTCTGGGCCCCAGCCCTCAGCTCCAGGTACCACAGCAGCAGAGGCTGGAGGGATACAGTGGCCAAGTTAACCTGGTAACTTTGATATCATGACTATGGCTCTAGCCTGGAAATCAGTTGCCTACTTCTCTGGCCAGTTTTGTTCTGCTTGGCTCAAGTCAGAGTTGTTCTGATGCTATTCCTGAGATATATTCAGGTTATGAGGAGGAAAGAAGAACTCTCCTGTTTAACACCTTGGTGACAAGAGGCAAAAGCAGCTTTATCCCCCTACACAGACACCTCGGAGGCAAAGTGCTGAAGCCCTCCAGCATCTCTACATCAGCAGAGCCCGAGGACGAGCCCTTGGACTGACGTGGGCCCCCACAGCTGGCAGGAGGAGAAGCAGCAGCAGAGGGGCTTTCCCTGGGCATCCTTCCAGCTGCGCTTCGCAGGCTGCCCGTGAGGGTTATCCTGGGGAGAAGGCTGGATGCGAAGGCGCATCCCCCGTAGGGAGCCTTCCCGCGGGCGGGGCAGCGCTGCATCCCGCTCCGCTCCGGGCCGAGGGACACGGGGGCCGGCAGGGGGATGTGCTCAGCGGGCGGGCGGGCAGCGGAAAGTTTTTCTACTCCAGAAGAATGGTCCTTTTGAAGCCCTTCTGCCCCACTGCACACTGCTAAGCGAAGCCAATCCCCGGCGCCCGGAGGCGCAAAATCCCCTTCGAAGAAGAAAAACTCAGTACCCCCCACCCCCGATTACACACACACGGGGTGGGGGGGGAAAGGAAAAAAAAGGGGGAGAGCGGGGAAATAAGGAAAGCACGGAGGAGCCGCCCCCGCCCGCGGTACTCACGCTGCTGTTGTGGCCGGACCAGTGCACCATGGCCTGGTTGTGCGCCGAGTCTCCGGCCAGGGCGAAGGTGGTGCTGGCCAGCCGCAGCTCCTCCAGGCCGAAGCGGGCGGCGCCGCCGTCCCCCGGCTCCCGCCCCGCGGCACCGCCCGGGCCCGGCCCCGGCCCCGCCGAGCCCCGCGGGCTGCGGCCCCAGCGCCGCCGCTCCCAGCCCGCCGGCACCGGGCCCCGCAGGGCTCGCTGCTCCGCCCGAGCCGCCGCTGCCGCTCGGGGACGGCGCTCCCCGGCCACTTTCTCTGCCACTCGCCGTGTCTCCCAGCCGCCGAACTGCAGCCCCGCGGGAGCAGGGGCGATGGTCGCTCGCAGCCCGGCATCGTCCGTCCCGGCCTCTTGCCCTCTCTCACCTCCCTTCTCCCCCAGGAACCTCCTTTGCTCCTTTTCTCCTCTGTCGGTCCTCAAGTGAATCAGTAATCCCTGCTGCGGCTGCTGCTGCGGCTGCACCTGGGAACGGCAGGATCTGCAAGTTATTTCTGCACCGCTAAAGCCATAAGTGAAGAGGAAAAGCCATGTCCAGTACAGGAGAGCAACGTGCCAGGCTGGGTGCCAGCCAGCAACTTTTTCCATCGCTGCCGACTGCTGATGAGTGCGAGGGAGAAAGAGCAAGAAGGAGAGCGCAGGAGCGAGGAGCCGGGCGCTGCCGATTCAGCCGCCGCGGGGTAAACACGGCGAGAACTCCACGTAAAGTTTCAGACTCTTCTGTGCTAGATGCAGCCGAGGGGATACAGGAGATTACTTTCTTCCCACGTCTTTTTCCCCTTTCTTGTTTCCTTTTTCTTCTTTTGCACTTTTTCCTTTTGTCTCTTTTTCCCCCCGTCTTTTTTCCTTTTTTGCTTTTTTTTTTTTTTTTTTTTCCCCCCAAGACTGGTGTTGCTGATCAGGCTTGTGATGGAAGGCAAAGCCACAACCACACGGGGGAGGAGCTGATTTGAAATCAGAGAGAGAGGGAGAGAGAGAGGAGCAAATCCTGGCTGGTGATTTCTGCCGGCTGCCTCTCTGGAAGTCGCAGCTCGCTCCTCTCCCGCTCGCTCTCTCTCTGCTCCCTCTCACTTCGCCGCTTCTGCATCACACTCCTCCCGCAGCCAGGACGCCCCGTGCCTGTGTCGTGAGTGGCTGGCTGCTCACTCCCCCTCTCTCACACGCTCCAAAGACGGACTTACCCCAACTTTTAAACTCGTATCATCCGATCCCTTCCTCCCTGTGTTTCCCATCAGTTCAAACCCCTACAGCCTGCCCCCCAGCATACTGAAACCTCCACACATGGACTGGAAGCAGATGCGCAAAGTGAAGGAACAGTACATGCGTGCGCGTATAGTCTTCCCAGAGGAAATGTTTAAATTCGATTAATTAAGTGGCCTTAATGTCTGAGCAGGCTCTGAAATAACCCTTTCTTTCTCTCTCCTCCCGTGACAGATGTAAGTGCGCTGGAGTTGCTCAGAACAGGCACCTGTGCTTGGTTTCACAGAGGGAAAGTCGCATTTCTACCCCTCTGTTCCCTCCTCCGCTTGTGCTTCACTGTACTGTCGTTTACAGTAGCTGCTGATGCTTAAATAAATCACTCATGCACGGCAAAGATGCACCACATAAATGCTGATGGAGACAGGGACAAGCTTTTGGAAATGAAATGACAGCATTTGGAGAGGGAGATTCCCCTCCAGTGGTTTATCAGCAGGAAAAAAAAAACCACCCTTTGTTGCTCTAGCTGTCTGTCAGGCTTTTAAGACCAGGGATTTCTCCCGCAGGAGCCGTGCTCCTCTCTCAGTATTTGTCCTCCCCACAGGGGGAGCAGTGGTGGCCGGAGGAGATCACCGAACGCTGCCTGCAGAGCTCTGCTGGTGACAGGAGCTGCTGGTCCCTGAGCAAACAGCGCTGTTGGTTACTGCCTGCGCAGCAGGACAGGGCCCTGAGCTTTGACAGGCACTTCCCACGGGCATTAAAACTGGAGGGAATTAAAAGCTGTTCACTGGAATTTTATTCCATCCCCATTTGCCTGCTATCACTTATTCCAATTTGATTTACGGGAGAGTTTATTTTTTAATTAATATTTTTAACATTTCCTTCCTGACACGGAAGACCTTATTGATTTCTTTTCTTTTTTTTTTTTTTTTTTTTTTTGGCAGGGCTTTTCAGAAAATGATTTACAGATTTGTTCCACATTCTTCTAGAGATTTCACTCAAATGCTCACTGGTGACACGTCTTGGAATATTAGCACAAGACCAGAGGTGAAGGGAGACTCACAGTAATTCAGGCTGGGCATAACTTCATGCTGCTTACAACAATGATGGATTGTCTGCAATGTAACCACCTGACCTCAGCTAAATCTACCAATTAACTGCATACCTGTTTCCACATCTCCAAGCTAAATGGTTACTATTAGTTACAGCCTGCCGGGTAATAACAGAAATAAAAACGCACGCTTAAACAGCTCCTTTACTAAGCCCAAAGCTCCTCACAAAGGCCACTTTTGTTGTATAAATGGAGGAAACTGAGTCACAGTATCATCAGCAAAGTAGTAATGATTGGAGGTGGAGCTGCCTTATTATCAGCCCAATCTTTTGTCTTCTATACAACAGATTGACCAGGTGTATCTATCCCAGAGGATCAACTGAAAAGCATCACCTTCCCAGCACAAGTCTCTTAAGGAGCCTTTAATCTAAAGGAATGAAGTTCAGGGATGAGTAGGTGAGACAGAAAAAGAACTTGGAAGAAGGAAATTAGTAAGAGGTCAGAGGGAATTTCTCTTGGGATCGTAATAGAGATTTGCATGCCAATGAGTGGCTAAGGCTAAGGAGAGAAACAATCTAGCTTTCTCGTTTAGGCAGATGATTATCTCTGGGTTGTGATGAGTGGCAAGTGAGTGATGTGGATGTGCCTGGTGGAGCACACCTGTGAACACACTACACCCACAGAGCTCTTCAGCAAATGCACAAGAAGTCATGGAGGGAAAATACTGGATCCAGCTTGAGGACCACAGACACATTTTCCAGCACAGACCTTGTTGTGGGTGGATACAGGACAGGCACATACAGTGTGAGCCTTCCCCTGAGCCCTGTTTTCAGGAATTATCAGTTCAGGAGATCCCAACAGCAACAGAAGCTGCACCTGATCCCTTATTTCTAAAAAGTAATAATGTAGAAGGACTTTTAATGGACCTGCCTTCCCAAAATTTGTCTTATCTGTATTTATACTCTAGGTGTCTGAGACAAGCTGTGATAGTCAAGCTTACAATCTGATTATGTGTACTTTTGAATACTCATAGTCTGCACTTATCTGAGAGAGACATTTTAAATCCCTGTAATCTAATCTTCCTGCCAGCCATCTTTTTGCCACGGATGATGTGATGATTGAGCCGTCAGAGATAAGAAACTGGAGCCTTTGGCACAAAAGGATAATCCCCTGTCCTTTGATGTAAGGGATAGCTTTCTTCGTTGGGAGCAGGGACTGAGATCCTACACTCAGACAAAAAGAAGCTGGTGTGATGTGGCCGAACTCTATGGCTGTGCCCATGAGAAAGGAAAGGCTGCACTCATGGGTACCCAGACCTGAGGCACCACCTGATCTGATATTTCAGTAGCACATGCCCAGCTCTAGCATCTGGTGAGGTGTTTTCCATGAGAGCTGCTACACTGCCCGGTCAGGAGACTTTCTTCTGTTTCACATGGCCAATATTGCCTGGGGAGGGGGATACGAGCAAGCCATGGGAGCCATGGAACAGGAGGCAATCGTTAGCAATATAAACCATGATACTGTGAGAGCAAATTAAAATTGCAGGTTTTAGCTGGCCTCTTCAACCTCTGCCTCTGTCAGGATGAGCAGTGGCAGAGGGTTTTCCTCTGCACCAAGAGGAACTAACTCAAAGGCAGAGATCTGTACATACATGAGAGTGTTGGGGGTCAGGAAGAACAAGCTGGAGTTGAGTGAAGGGAGTAGGTACCAGTTCTAGGTATGTGTTGCAGTGCAGCAAGCATCTTCCTCAGGATTTATATAGCCTTGAGAAGAGAAGCAGGAACAGCATGAAACGTAGATGAGTACACAAATCTTCACTTAGGACTGGGCAGGTTCTGAGACAGGTGGAAATATGGGCTTGGTCAAGGACATAAATCCTTATGACAGTGATTGCAATAATCTGCCATCTGCAGGAATCCTTTCCCCTGGAGTGTTTCATGCTCGCAATCAGAGACTACTTGTGAAAAATGTGGTCTTGAGAGACTTCCTGGCTCCACAGTATTCCTATCTCCTGAAACATGCTAGACAATGTACCCTGCGTGATGGAAGCACCTCAGGGAGTGTGCCAACACTGCCTGTACTGTGATGGAGTAGGAAGGGAGAAAAAGAAATGCAAGAGGATACAGAGAAGGAAACAGAATTCAGTGGGCTTAACCAGCTGAGTTTTTAATATAAGGCAGGGGCATAATATAGCCTGGCCTTTTGTGAATCTGAATGTCTTTTAGGCAAAAGAGTATAATCTTTCCCTAGTAAATATTTGTATAATCAGGATTTTGTGAATCTACACTCATTTTAAATCATGAGTTGTCTCAGAGAAGATTGTGTAATGAAGGGAGACCAAGAAGAACACTGCTCCATTGATTCCTATCAAGCCATGGGGAGTGATGAATACTGTAGTTTGACATTACACATAATTCCCCCAAATGGAATCTCTGTTAAAAATAAAAAAATAGAAATCAGGATACAACAGGTCTTGTTGCAGTTTCTCTTAGCAGAAAAAAATACTTTCAGCTGTAAATATCACAAGAAGATTTTTTCTTTTTTTTTCTATATAGGGTTTGAATGCTTCATTCTTCAAATAAAATAGGCACTCATTATATATATCAAACCAACTATTTCCAAGTGCTTCTTATTTCACTGAACAAATGGAAATTATTTAGCCATATGGTTTATTTTGTAGCAATAGGTAGATAATTGTTACATAGGTGTTATTTTAAATAAATCTTGTAACTTATACTGGGGCCATGCATTTGACAAAAAAATGACCAATACATTTGAAAAAAATCTGCAACTGAAAGAAAATATCTATCTTCTTCCCACTAAGTTTCATTTCCCTCCCTCAGACTATTTTTGGAAAGGTGACTGAACTGTTAATTTTTGACACTAATAATTCCTCTAAATTAATTAACATGAAATCTCTGCATTGTTATTCCACACAATCAAACCCCAACCCAGTGCTATCCTAAAATTAGGCTGTTGCAGCTTTTAACAGGGGCTCCTATTCATCTGCAAATGTGTTGCGATTTTGCTTTAGTTGCCATAAATATTAACAGCCAGGGCTTTTTGTTCTTTTACTCCCTCTTGCTGCAGCCTGTTGCAAAAACTGAAGTTTAAAGTAATCTGAAGAAAAGTGCAAGACTTTGATACTTTATAACTTAGAGAGGTATTTTGCTTTGCTTAATCCTCAGCTTGGGGGTTCATCCATTCATTTATCTGGCAAGCAGGCTGGGTGGTGAGCAGATTCAGTCAGTGGGATTGCCTCCAGGTACAGGAAGGTGCTCAACCAATACCTGGTTGCAGTTTTTCTCAAATCCTGTTTATATTGAAATATCTAGTCATG